AAGGAGGGGGCTTTGTAGAAAACGAAGCGTTTGAGAGAGGCGGGGCATAGAGGACCTACAATAATGTACAGTATTTGAAAAATAATGTGTTTTTTGAACATTAAAGCATGTCAACATATTCTGTTACACCAAATACACAAAATAATGATCTTTAAAAAAGCATCATATGACCCCTTTAAGTTTACAGTTTATTTTTTAGGTTTAAATTGGAATTTAAACCCTAGATTTTTAATGTGGTTTCAATTTTTTTGGACTCTGGCATATAATGTGAGGAATGTTAAATGATTAAACCCTTAGTGAGACATGGTATAACTGATCAGTTACCTGTTTCATTTTCATATTTTGAGACTTGTCACTTTTCTAACATGAGCTATAAAAAATAAATATGATTTTCTTTGTACAGATATCCATTTGTTGCTATATCCATTGGCTTTGCTGTCAACAAAATGGTAAGCATCATTTGCTTTCAGATGCACTCTCTTTTATTTTAGAATAACAAAGTGACAGCACTGGTAATAGATCTTTGCTTGGTGAGATGAAATCGGAAACTGCTGCTCTGCTCCCACTTTTTTTTCTTGCTCATTTATCATGCTTTTGGAAGGTTGGAAGTTCATCCAGTGGGAAGAACATCTGACAGACTCATCATTCTTCTGTTGCAGTTAGAGTTTGGTGTGGTTTATAGCTGCATAGAAGACAAGATGTACACGGCTCGAAAAGAGAAGGGTGCATTTTGCAATGGACAGCCGCTGCAAGTGTCGGACCAAAAAGGTAACCGTTCTTCTGAGTATGTTGATCCAGTTGCATTCCGTGTTTGCTTGTTGGCAATCATTGTAATTCTCTCTAATTGTTAATAATTGTTTCCACATCATTAACAGAGATTAACCAGTCAATCATCGCTACAGAGTTTGGCTCTAATAGAGACCCTGATGCCGTTGATAAGATTTTCTCTAGCATGAGGAAAATCTTATGCCTGCCAGTTCATGGGTATGTACCAGGTTGCTTTCACACACAGCCTCACTGGAACAGATTTGCCCTTAAATGTAATATTATCTAATACTATGTACTCTACCATTATACTGTAATGTGCATCAACAGATATCTCTTGACAATTAATTTTCTTTGAAAGGATACGTGGCGTTGGATCTGCTGCCATCAACATGTGCTTGGTAGCATCTGGTTGTGTCGAGGCCTATTATGAGATTGGGATCCACTGTTGGGATGTGGCGGCTGCGGCAGTCATAGTCTCAGAGGCAGGAGGAGTTCTCATGGATGTTGAGGGTAAAGACAGCTCCTTTAAGTGGTTACATCATTTTAATGAGTGTTGTTTTAGTATTAGTTAGCTTTTATTTTTATACAGTGCTTCACTTTTTCCACATTTTGTTATGTTACAGCCTTATTCCAAGATGGATTAAATTCATTCTTTTCCTCAAAATTCTACAAACAATACACCATAATGACAATGTGAAAGAAGTTTGTTTAAAATCTTTGCAAATTTATTAAAAATGAAAAGAAAAAAATCACATGTACATAAGTATTCACAGCCTTTGCTCAATACTTTGTTGAAGCACCTTTTCACCAATTACAGCCTCAAGTTTTTTTGGGTATGATGCGACAAGCTTTGATCATCATCATTTGGCAACTATCTACCATTCTTCTCCTCTTAAAGCCCAGATCGGTGGAGTTTTGCAGTGATGTTTGTCCTTCTGTAGGTTTCTCCCATCTGCATATATGATCATGGAGCTCAACTAGAGTGACCATCAGAATCTTGGTCACCAGTCTAGACAAGGCCCTACTCCATCAATTGCTCAGTTTGGCCAGGAGGCCAGCTCTAGGAAGAGTCCTGGTTGTTTCAAACTTCTTCCATTAAGAGTAACAGAGACTACGTGCTTCTGGGAAACTTCCATGCTGCAGAAATTTTTCTGTACCCTTCCCCAGATCTGTGATTCAGTCCTGTCTAGGAGGTCTACAGATAATTCCTTGGACTTCATGGCTTGGTTTGTGCGCTGACATGCACTGTTAACTGTGGGACCTTATATAGACAGGTGTGTGCCTTTCCAAATCATGTCCAATCTACTGAATTTACCACAGGTGGACTCCAGTCAAGTTGTTGAAACATCTCAAGGATGATCAGTGGAAACAGGATGCACCTGAACTCAATTTTGAGTGTCAAAACTGTGAATACTTATGTACATGTGATTGTCTCATTTTTTTTCTTTTTTTCTTTCACATTGTCATTATGGGGTATTGTTTGTAGAATTTTGAGGAAAATAATTAATTTAATCCATTTTGGAATAAGGCTGTAACATAACAAAATGTGGAAAAAGTGAAGCACTGTGAATACTTTCCGTATGCACTGTATATTTGAGTTTTAATATTAGTTTAGGTTTTAGTAATGTTATGTGCATCTGTCATTTTTATATATTTTTTCCTATTTAGCTTTCATTTGTTTTTATTTCAGTCATTTTAGTACTTCACTCTAAACTTATTTTGTCAGTTAGAAGCAAAGGCAACATTTATACGTTTCTTCATGTAATATTTATATTTTATTTCAGATTTATTTCAAATGAAAATTTTTAATTATTTCAGTTTCAACACTCTTATACCAATAATTTCTCAAAATTTCTCAAATTTTGTGAGTGGTTTGTTTTTCCAAAATATGTATTTGTAAATATGTATTACATACTGGTAAAAAATGTATAGCCTGAATGCACTGTAAGTCGCTTTGGATAAAAGCGTCTGCTAAATGCATAAATTATTATTAATTATTTATTTAAATTATGTATTTTATTTAAGAAATTACTTTGTTTTAATGAATTTGAATATGATTCTTGTGTATTAAATTCTTGCGTATCAACTTTTCCAAAAACGTCCTCAGGTGGCCCGATGGATCTGATGTCTAGAAGAGTTTTGGCAGCTAATAACAACATAATTGGAGAAAGAATCGTTAAAGAGATTGAGGCTTTTTCAGCTGTAAGAGACGATGCACCTGTAATCCTTATCAAATAAACCTAGTTTTGAATACAAGCTTCTGCGCTATTGAAGTATGGTACATTAGTACATTTGAAATAATGCATCAATGTTTAATCTTTATGTTGTGTAAATGATTTCTGTCTCACGATGTTGTTGAAAAATGCATTATAGTTATGTTTAAAGCTATGTGCAAACGGTAAATTACAAATTATATTTTCCCACGTTGAGCTACTTAAAGTCAATGTTCATCGTCATTAAAATGTATTTAAAGATTTTTACTAGTAATGTATATTTTATACACGAGTTCAATAGACAAGGAGTTAATAATGAATAACTTATCTAAGAGACACATTATTTGTCTATTTTTGCTCTGCCTAAGAAAATAGTTTCAAACGATGGCAACTTTTTTTCAATAGAAAGTAACCGAAGCCTGCTCGAAAAGTTGCTAAATGTCATATACATTTATTTAATTAGCATATTTATGGTGTCATTATGTTACGTAACAGCATAGTGTCGACGTTAGTTTGCTTCTCTCTTTTGCTCACATATACTTCTATATTTTATACAGGGGTGCCAAACTCAGTTCCTGGAGGGCCGTAGCCCTGCAGAGTTTAGTTCCAACCATGCTCCAACACACATACCCATCTAGTTTTCAAATAAGCCTGAAGGACCTGGGGCCAGTTGCATAAACTGTTTAGTCATCTAATTTTTTTCTTCAAGACTGGTCATGACTTTTAAAATTCAGTTATGAAATGGTAGATTGGTCTTCATTTTATTGGAAACGTAAAACTGATTACCCCTTGGCAACCGCTAGTTGGTCAAACTAGTTCTTAAGACACCGTCTGAGTCCCAGTGTGCATAGGTCTACTATCCATCCTAAATTCTATGTGATATTAGTCATTTTCAATACTATTCAGGGCAGATAAGCTGGATAGTGTGCATTTTGGGACGCAGGGACAGTCTTAACATGGTGGCTAAGTTTATGCAACTGGCCCCTGATTACCTGGATCAGGTGTGTTTAATTAGAGTTGAAACTAAACTCTGCAGGGCTGTGGCCCTCCAGGAACGGAGTTTGGCACCCCTGTTTTAATGCAACCAAATTCCCAATTAACCAGCTGTTCCTTCCAAGCTGCTCTGAACTAAAATCCTAAATTATAATTCTGTAAGTGTGACAAAATCACCATACAAATCGGATACAGACAATGCTTATGCCGTGATTAAGACATGTGAAATTATCACTTGGGTTATAAAACATGCTATTATGGCAGTACAGATGAGTCTCTGACACCAGATAATGTCTGTCCAGACCAGGGGTAGGCAAGTTCGGTCCTAGAGAGCCGCAGTCCTGCAGAGTTCAGCTCCAACCCTAATCAAACACACCTGAACAAGCTAATCAATGTCTTCAGGATTAATAAGGCTATAGGCAGGTGAGTTTGTTTTTTTCAGGGTTGGAGCTGAACTCTGCAGGACTGCGGCTCTCTAGGACCGAACTTGCCTACCCCTGGTCCAGACCAAGAAGTTGATTTTTGGGAAAAAGTCGCTATTTGCAGCACTAAATTCCGAACGCTACACATTAGAGTCGTTCCTGAATGAATCAATGACTCAGTAATCAGTAAATGAATTGATGACTCGTTCATAATACACCTCCCACCTATACTGGCGTAACGATTCAACCTGCACAAAGAGCCTAAGTATGGCTGTCTGGAGCGCCTTGCGGAGATATCAAAAAAGAAAACAGTCCTAATGGCAGCTCTCTTGGAACACAAAACAAAAGCACAAATATTCCAGGCGGCTGAAAATACACACACACACAAATGGGCAGGTGTTAATTGCCATGCTATTTTGTAAACAGAAAAAAATTAGACTGTGAGCAAATAAATGTTTTATATTCACTGTTATTCACACAGTAAAATAACAATATCAGCAACACATAACCTCTCACACACACGCACACACAAATTGGCAGGTGTTAATTGCCATGCTATTTTGTAAACTGAAAAAATGAGACCGTGAGAAAATAAATGTTTTATATTCACAGTTATTCACACAGTAAAATAACCATATCAGCAACACATAACCTCTCACACCTCTTATGGATCATGCTAATAATACCCATTTCACAAGGGCCAAAAGTGCAAACTTGTGCCCAGTATAATGCATATACTGTATAAAGCTGATTTAATACACCATTAATATAAAACAGTTAAGAGCCAGTACAAGTAGATCCTCACTGCCAACAATTAGAGAACTTGAGTAGTTTTGAAAGCCACAAGCCTTAACTGAAGAAAGCTTATGTGTTGTAAATATACTAAGTATGATACAGAAACTTTAGTGCTCATATTGTAAGAATGGATGAAATTCCTGCATCATTGCTGGTTGCTATGCTCATTCTTAAGCATAATTTCCCTCTGGCATTACATTAAAATTGTGTAGGGGTAAGAAAGACGTTCTGTTTTCATAATAATGTATCGAAAAACAATTTGTCTGAATCCAGAGTTGTCACTATGTTAATGTTAACAATGACAGCAGAGTTGCATATTAAGTCCATGTGCTCTGATATGCTCTTCAATCAGTCAGCAGCAGCAGTTGCTGGGAGTCCTCAGGAACGGCCCGGCTTAAGATGGAGAACCATGGAGCTCCAGCCGCAGGAGGAGAAGAGGGGGATGGTGTGGGAGGAGCAGCTGCCGTCAATCCATGAGCTGTACCGCTGGTCAGACTAACCTTCTGTTTTAGGATCTGAAAGGATAATAATAATAATAATAATCATTTTTATTTAAATAGCACCTTTCGCTTCGCTTTACAACATCAGGTTTAAGGAACAAAACCAAATAAACATCTACATGAAAGCACAGTACACATACCAAGAGCTGCAAGTAATATATATAGGGTGCTTACAAAGTTAGGTTAGAGATACAGAGAGGATTTAGATAAACATGTCCATAACAAGGTACAATTTACAGACCAACCACTGAAGTTATTATTCAAAGAAAAATGTGTTTTTAAGAGGTTTTTAAAGGAGAGAAGGGAGGATACAACACTTTATTTGAGAAAGTTGAGACACTTTATTTGAGACTTAATCGTCATACACATATTTTCAATGTCACAGTGTTAACCTATATGCATTGTATGTATGATTGAATTGATTTGAAAACAAATACTGCTAGGTAGAATATTTAAAATCTCAAAATAATTACAAATACACCACCACCCAAATTATTGTGTAGATCGCTCTATAAAACTTACATTTACACAAAACACAAGATATGGTTTATGCTCTGATTGAAATAACTTATCTCAAATAACAGGATTTGACAGTTTAACAATACAGTGCTCAAATGATGCTTTACTTTTACCGACTAACCTGCCGAAGTCTGTCCTCGTACCGTTGATCTGGTTCTAAAGGTTGCTTGTCTGGGACTGGCACTTTCCAGCGGTCCATTTCTGCCCTCAACTCTACACCATCTAACAGTACCACAGGGTCTAGTGCGTTGTTGTTTATTAGCTCCACCAGACACTCTTTATAATGTACCCTAAAAGTGAGCATAACATCTCTTGAGTTTGTAGTACTTATGGAAGAACATAGTTCAGTTAATGATAAAGAATAAGCATTCCTTACGTGCAGTAACCACTGTAATCTGGGAGAGCTGGTCGTCCACATGGCTCCTCCTTCACAGCTCCTGATTCTTGGAACTCCATTACACCACAAATACCTACAAGGGACACATAAACATGTACTGTATTTCAACTGTACTGTGACACATCTAAACTAGTGATGCACCAAAATCATTTTTGTTACTGAAACACCAAAACTGAACACAGTCAAAACGCCATCGGGGAAACGCTAATTAAATCTATTTCGGCCGAACCAAAACATTTTCAGGTGCCAACATTTTGGTGCATCATTAATCTGAACATACAATATTCACATGTCAAAACAAAAGATGTACCTTTAGAGTGTCTCCCCACTGTATTTTTGGGGCTGAACATGAGGGGATGTGATACCCCATAGTGCTGAAAACATAAATAAAAGTAGTTTAGCCAGTTTAACTGTGTCAGGGTTTAATGGTGGCTTCCTGTTTATGCTAGACCACAGTAAAGACGTCTGTCACCTGCAGCAGGGTCCGTAGTCTCGGGACACTCCAGTCTCTCAGATGATATAGGCAGTTTCGAGGGTGATGAGCGTGTAACCCCTTAGCTCCGCACTCGGTAGAAAAACTACAGGCCTGCAAGGAGAACATATGCTCATTAATGATACAGAGCTCTGTGGTAACTATAATGACGACTGCTGAGAGAACTAAACTTACAGAGCCTTGTTTAAATGGCTGACTGCAGCCTCCGCAGAATTCGTGTTGGCACTGAGTGCATTTGAAATGCAAACAGCCTCCTCTGGCCAGGAAGAAGCGAAATTTGCATTTTGGACAGTCTGAAAGGAGCAAGGAGAACGTTACAACCTGGGAACGTTCCAAAAAGACACTTTGAACCAAGAACCTTCAGTGAGAGTTTTGGTTTGACCTATTTTGTTCCTGCTGAGAAGCTGCTCCAGCCTTGAGTTTTGGTACTCGGGGCTGTTGAGTTGCTCCCACTCTTTGAACTTCTCGCATGAGATTCCTTCATGCTGTGGAGCCCACTAGACAACAAACACCCAGATCAACAGCCTCCATCAATATGAGATTACAACCACCAGCACAATGCAGGGGCTCAACAGTAAGGATTGTTTAGTTCAGGTGTTTACTTGTCTGGCCAAGATTTTCAAAGACCCAAATTCTACATTTTATTTCTAGAATGTCTGTTTAATATGTCCCAGAAACTATAACATTTATATAAAAATGTTATAGATTTTAGTAACATGTATTTATATATGCACTGCCATTCAAAAGCACAGTAATATTGGGAAACATTATTACAATTAAATTTTTTTTTAAACTTTTTTTTAAACATTTGTAAAAGAACAAGGCTGCATTTATTTAATCAAAAACACAATAAAAATAGTAATATTGTAAAATACTATTACAATCAAGAAACATTTCTTATTATTCTCAAAGTTCAAAACAGTAAATAAATGTCTGTACTATCACTTTTAATCAAAAGTTTACTTTTGATAAAAACTTATTGGCCTCAAACTTTTGAACGGTAGTGTAAATATTGGTTTTCATTAATTGCTAAGTTAATATTTATACAAAATATTGAGTTTTGAATACCTGCTAAGTATATAGCTTACATCACAGAACTTTATATGACAGATAAAAACCTCACACTTATATTGTAAGACTAAGGCATATGATATAAAGCATTGTTGTTTGTAAAGGCAAAACCTACCGGCCTTTTACATTGAAAGCATGTGCTTTTCCCACAGCAAGGGCAATCCATTCTCAGCCTGTCTGCTTCATGAAGGAGCCCAAAGCAACACTAAAAAACAAGGACAACTTTACAAAAATATAAACAGACATAAATCGCTATCATTGTATACTGTATAAAATATCTGCGAATAACAGAACTTACATGTGCACACCAACGGAAGTTAGGCATTTCCTGCAGTGCCTGGTCTCTGAGCTTCCTCTGGAAGAGCTCATGGATCTGGGGGTCCAAATAATACCTGATCTACAGATACAAAATGATTTACAGTTATTAATATTCTATATTCAATTTCATATGGTCCAAAAAAACATGTTTGGAGCTCCACACCTGTGTGTCGAGTAAACTGAAGTACTCCATAGACTCCTCCCTGCGGCCTCTTTGTACATCAGGAAGATTACAGAGGGGACACACAGCATGTACTATATTCTTCTCCTTAATGACAGAGGAGAAATACTTCTTAAAACAGCTCTCACAGAATGTGCAAGAGCAGTGTGTCATGGTGACCATCTGAAAAAAGAAAAGAGAGGCAGATACTACATTTAGGAATGAAAGATAGCCTACTGTGTATTATCCACATGTGTAAAATAATATGATATAACTAATATCAGCGCTCAACAACAAGGATGGCTAATGTCTTAAGACCAGAGAGAGAGAGAGTTTTATATAAAATACAAAATAAAATGTAATGGCCCAGTGAAATACAACAACAAGTCCTAAAAAGAACGAATCATAATAATTTAATTATATTCTAGTAATTAAATATTATAATAATCAATATGATTTTTAAAATAAGTCACTTATGAGAACTAAAGCTGCATATATTCTATTAAAAATACAGTAAAAATTAAATTATTACTGTTAAATATTTCTACAGTTTAAAATATCTGCTTTCTATTTTAATATATTTTAAAATGTAATTTACTCCTGTGATGGCAAAGCCAGATTTTCAGCAGCCATTACTCCAGTCTTCAGTGTCACACGATCCTCCAGAAATCATTATAATGTGCCGATTTGGTGCTCAAGAAACATCTTTATTTTCAATGTTGAAAACAGTTATGCTGCTTAATATTTTTTTGTGTAGAAAATGTGATAATTTTTTGTAACATTACAAATATCTTTACTGTTACTGTTTTGATCAAATGAATGCATCCCCTGCTGAATAAAAGTATTAATTTCATTTAAAATATATTAATTTAATTTAAAAAATCTTACTGACCTCAAACTTTAGAACAGTAGTGTGTTAATTATTATCATCAAATAACGATAAAACCATATAATGCATAATAATTTGAGCTACATGTGACTCCATATTGTTAGGCCAAGAACACAATTGATTTATTCTCACCCTGTTGAATGATACTTGCTCCTGGCATATAGGGCAATCATGGCAGAGATATTTCAGGGCAGAGGGGAGGTCTCGGCACGACTGCACTGCTTCCAGGACATCTGTGGAGCTGAAACTGCACCCTTCCAGACTCAAGATGCTCCTAAACATTTCAGCTTTCTCACCTTGGACACCACCTGGGATCTGACAGTAGTAGGTTCTTTGTGTAGTGCAATCCTGTACAAAATGAGTGAGTAAAAAAATGGTGAAGAGCTATCCTGATTTGGCCTCCTCTTACCTCCATGTCTTCAAAGCTCTTCAGCTGAATAGGAAATTGCTGCTCATTAATAAAAGAACAGTAAACCTTTAATCGAAATAGTACATTTTTCTTTAGTGGAGTTTATCAGTGATGTCCCATAGTACCTCTCTGGTGTCTGAAGAGCACCCAGGCCTGGTCTGGCTGTGCTGCAGGGTACTTGACATCCAGAACCTCTCCGCCTGCGTTCTGCCTCCGCTGGAAGAAGAGAGTGAGCTTGTTCTTCATCTTGCTGGGAGAGACGCCCACAGGAAGCCTGCTCACCACCACCTTGTGACGGTCATCCACTAAGCCTGAATGAACTCCACCACCACAATCCTGCCACGCTCCTCTAGCATGATGAACATCTTTTTGAAAAAATTAAAGTCTGTTTTAGTTCAGTGTAACATCTGCATTGTTTTACACAATGGTGTGTAAGAGGCCCCAGTACAAACAGGAAAAACAGTTTAATCACTTGCATGTTATGCTGAACATATGTTTAATACATATGTTTTTAAATTCAGATAATGAAAAGTACATCCAGCAACTGGATGTCAAGCTCATTTATATATTTTTTAAAGATCCACTGAAACTGCTTGATGATTCCAGTGTTAATGTATTTCCGACTACAACAGGATTTGTGTCGAACATATTTAAGCTGCTTGATTTGCTACTTTGTAGTGCTTTCGAGTGCAACAGTTGGGTTCGGGAAGTAAAATCCTATTCATTTTCTCCATAGGGGAATTGATTTTTAACTATGCCTTATAAACTGTTAAAGAAAGACATATGTTGAGCTACGAGGTTGTTATTCGAAAGTATATTTTGTTGAATCCATCAAATGGCATTATTTCAACTTAATTTTTAAATAATCATGGTAAAAAAGTAGAATTTCCAGTGTGAAACTACCTGACCTGTGATTCTACAAATAAATATCCCCCAATCAGACAAATGCAACAAAGCAAATCATGCTAAAGGAACTCTTTAGCGGCCCCCTCCCAAACTCCCATGAAGCACTGCAAATTGAATAGTAGTTCTTTCTCTTATTAAAGTTGTCAAGTACACAGTATTGTACCTTTGTCTTTTTGTCCAGCTTTCAAAGTTTCTAATGTTGTGATTCACCTGGTAGCTGTTTGGGGTTGGATTCATGGTTTACTCTTTAATGAAGACTTTTTTTATTATTTTTTTTTTTATCTCTATGGAAAAAATACTTCTGAACCAAGGCTGCTGAAAAAGTGAGCGAGCACTATTAAACTCTTGAACCCTTGTTATGGAAAAGGACATTTCCATTGTACAGATCAATTGATTGAACAAAAATCTGTAGATAAATGGTATTTTTTAGTTTAGAGAAAGGCTCTTTTATGGAAAAATTATAAATGCAAACACTGGCAAGAAGTTAATTTCGTCTCCCCAAAACTCCAATTTTATACTCACTTCATGAAGTCTTTAAAACACTGCTAAATGATGTGTTATTTACCTCTCTCCCTGTTGCTCAACTGGTACATGTTGACAACTCTTTGTAATTGAAGGCTTTTGAACAGGTCGTCTATGTCATCAACATTAGAAGCATTGCTGGTGGGAGCTGAAGCAGAGATAATCCTTAATTAATATAAAAAATTAAGAAGGGTGCTTTAAAATATTACAGCTGAATAAAAAAAAATAAAATAAAAACATATTACCTGAGGCAGGAGAAATAAATGGGTTTGTTTGGTGGTTAGCCTCCAAAGCTTGTGCACCAAATGTGATCCCGAAATCCAGCAGCTCTTGCGTGTATGATCTCCTTACTCCGCTCATCTCTGTTTCACTGGCTTGATTCAGGTTCATCTGGGACTTTGTACTCTTGGGTAGGCCTAGGGAAAAAAACCTTATGGTTAGCCAGGAATAGAAAATGAAAGGCTGAAACAATTTATGGCATTAAACCAATACATTTAAACATTGTATTAGATCAGCATGCTTTCTGCTTCCAAGATGGAGATTTCAGCTTTGTCTACCAACCCACTAAAGATCATAGATTCACACATGCTCTGACACACTCAGCTGTGGTGATCATTTGGCACAAAACGCCTTCTACTTACTGCGAATAACATTTTTCGTTAATTTAAATAAAATAAACGTTAACTGAGATAAAATAAAATATAAAAATAATTTTAAAATATAAAAAAACAACTTAAAATTCATATTATATATATTTCACTTAGTTGCCAAGGCAACATTTCTCATTTTTATTTAGTTCAACTTGATGTGCTAAAATAACTGAAAATAAAATAAAACGGAATAAAAAAAAATGTAACTGACATATTAAAATAAATAAATAAATAAAATGAAAGAAAAAAAACACAACAAGCTTACTAAATCTTTAGCTAAAATAGCAATGGACAACATAAAAATAAAAACTAATTCAACATATTAAAAAAATTATAATAGTATCTCAGTGACACTAAAATTGGTATATAGAGAGTACAAAATATTTTTTCATAAAACTGAAAATCTAGTGAACAATTCATGCAAGACTACTATTCAGCAGAAAATCAATGTTTACTGTTGCTGGCATGCTGAGGCACAGAAGAGATGGATGCTCCATGTTGAGCTGTTGACATTTTTTGCACTGAACTGCTGCCTGTATGAGGCCAGCTGTGGCACAAACAAACAAAAAGGAAGACTGAAGATTACATAAGTATCCACTGATCATTAAAAAGGGGCTAAACTGAGAGACTAGTGTCAAATGCTTTTGATAAGAATGACTGAACTGAAACTCAAACAAGCACTGACCTGCCATAGGACGAAACAGGATTCGGTTGAACTACCAGTTCAGCTGCCAGGTGCTTTGCTTGAGAATGTATTGGAGGGGTTCGGACTGGATAGGTGGCAAAAAGAGGAGTTTCACGTTGAAAGGCGGCAATCATCTCTTCCAAAACTACCGACAAGTTTGACCAGCCCTGGAAATCCAACATTTAAATCCAGAGTGAAATATAAAAATGATTCACTTCAAATAAGTAAATGTGCAATAACTATAGAACTGACTTACAATCTTCCAGTTGCTGAGACAGTGGAGAAGAACGCGACCGTTGGCATCAACATTGCTGCTTTTAGCATTGATGATCATGGAGGGTGAAGGGCAGACAAAACACCTGGGTGGGTTTTTGGGATGGGTCTCATGGATCCAGATGCAAACTGGATTGTTGTACGTAGCACCTTTGTAATAACATTATACATATTTAATGAGTTTCAGTTGGTGGAAAGCAATTACAGACTCTGGAAGGGATTAATCATAGGTTACAGTAAAGTTACTGAAATCAAGATACCTTCATATGTTACAGGAACGGTGCCACCCAAATAAACCAACTTCTTTTTATCATTATTGGGATAGACTGTAGAAAGAGAAGAGAACCAAACTCAGAAAACACACATGCAAGAAAATGTGCACAGTAAGCAAAAAGTCTACATAGCAGTTATACACTTGTTTTGAAATAATTTTTATGGATTATATAGGAGACAGGGACTTGTCACAGTCCGTACACCCATGAATATTCATCAGTGTATAGTGTAAGTCTATTCCAGTATAGGCACAAACAAGGCCCATTCATACCAAAAACCGTAACGATAACTACATTACCATTCAAAAGTTTGGACTTTGGAGCCAGATAAAAAAAATAAAAAAAATAACTAAACACATGAATGAATGAATGAATTAAATATTAATAAATAAAATATTTAATCAGCAAGGACCCATTAAAACTGCTCAAATGACAGTAGAAACATTTATAATTGTATTCATTGTATAAGTAATCAAATAATCTATTTTAATTAAATGCTTCTTTTAAACTTTCTATTCATCAAAGAATTCTGAAAGAAGCATTATGACTTGGTAACAAAAATGGTATTGAACATAGGCCTAGTTTAGGGAAAAAGAAACCAATTGTGGGGTATGTAGAGCCGTTCAGCAAAATATAAACAGCAATTATGACACACAAAGAAATTCATGGAATTTCATGTTCCATGTTTGCTGTTCTTACAGTAACATATAGAAGTAACATAAAACTAATGTTTTGGGAAACAAAAAAGTTGAAATTAATTGTTTAAATTTATAACATTAATTCATGTGATAACTTGCCCTGATCTGACATTAATGAAATTTGGTTAAAATTGTCTTTTGACTTTTGTCTGCATGTACTGTGTGTGCCCTTGTGGTTTTGTTGTGTTCACTGCTATTGCATTTAAGACAGCCTTGTGACAACTTCCTAATGTGACAACTAGCCCCAATTATTAATTCCCATACAGTGAAATGACAGCCACACACTAATCTATTTAACTACTGCTTAAACTACACAGGTTCACAAACAGCTGTTGCTAGACCCCTGGAGTGCTTTCAAAGATAAACTTACAATAAAAGTCCACATATAGCTGCAGGTGTGGGAAATCTGCCGACACGTCTTTGATGTCATCAAGCACCTCATTGGGGTAACAGTAATTACACTATTGAGAAAATATGAAGATAGTCATCAGTAAACAAGATGATCCTGATGCACCACAACCTCAACAAGACAAATTTACCATGGTGACTCCAAAGGGTGCCGCAACTAAAAAAAGGTTGGGAAACACTGACCTATACCATAGTTATGACAGCTATTGTGTTCACAACAAAAGTGTGGTAACCTGGTATTAATCACCTCTGCCAAAACAAAGTAAACAAAATGAGAGAAGATTCTGAAAGGAGAAACAATATTGTATATAAGGGAGTTTATAATGATTTCCGACCTGACAGCTATACTAAAATATCTAGTTCAGTATGTCATCCTTAATACTGAAGTACCGGTAATTAGCTTATTAGCTCATGAACAATTACAGTCTGGTAAACCACAGCTGCCTCTCTAGTGTTGACAGTAAACATACCTCGAGAAGTGTTTGATACTCCAGATCAGCTGTGACGCGCGACATCCTCTTTAACTGCACGAGCACCGCTCATGCACTCAGCGTCAAGTAATTTTACAATAAAAGAGGGAAATCATATCTGTTGCTTCTTCCATCGCTTAAGTTTACATGTCATTCAGCCAGTTTTGGTTTCTTTTGCCATGAACGTCACTACGTCTCGTTGATACCGAAAATGTGGCTGCAGAAGTCTGCCATATTGAGTGTGGCAGGAAGTTAGCCGTTTGAGTTTTTCTTGTCTATTATTTTCCGGTATTTGTTTTTCAAAAGCTATCCGTTTTTCAGCTGAACTGAATTTGGTGTTCTAGATAACGACATAGAGATAGAGGCAAAGGTCAAGCACATATTAAAACGATATTCCTGATTGTCGAGCCTAATATGGACGTAAACACCGTCCACTGATGTAGTAGTGACCGCTGGATGTCAGTATAACACACACAATCTCTCCATCACTGCACTGGCGCTGCATCCCAATACACAGAGAGAAAGAACAAGTGAACCGTGAAGTACTGAGCGGTTTAGAGTCGATGTAGGTTTATCATTTATCTAGGTTATTGTAGAAGGTCTTTTGCTATTAAGGAACTTTTGTTTTTCACTCATAGAAACGATTTTTTTTTCTATTAAACAGAAAGTATTCAAAATGTATAATGTCACATTTTTATTCAGTTAATAAAAGGAAAGTCCAGTTGCTTGTAAATTCATTCTACCACACATTTAGTTTTGCAGGGATAAAATGCACACTGCAATGTGTTTGTATGTGCAATAATGACAAAACATGTATTATGAAGCTACAAAGCTGAAAAGCACAAAAGCTTGTGTAATAAGGAATTATTTAAAACTAGCCTGTTTTTCTTTAATATCTGAAAATGTTGACAAAAAGTTTTCACAAAAGAGGTATATTTTTTTATTAATATCTTGCTTCTGTCAGGACATGACCAATGTTTCTTGAAAATATATTTATTTATATGCATAGGTATTTATAAGTTTACTATTTGAATCTATATGAAATATGGTTTGGGGGTTTTGAGGGTGAATGTGATAGGATTTTGACAAAATAAAGTAAAAATGTAATGAAATGGTACATTTTCATTTTTAAAACTTTTCAGGTAGGCCTAAAGTTCAGGTAAAGTAGAACATATTTTATCCCAAAAATCAATAAAGTTTATGCTTCTTAAACCATTGTAATTGTATTTCCAAACCAATCGTCCTTCATAAAACAACTGTTCAAACATTATGAGAAAGAAAAGAAAGTTTGATTCACTGGCCATCTCATGGTTTTATAGTGACAGACAGCATCTAGAATTTAAGCTCCATGTAGCTGGCCAAAACAATCTTGCGCTATCCTGCCGAGATAACACCGACTAATTTTCTGACTTATTTCCCATCCTCCAAGTTCATTTTTTTCTGAACCCATGAGGTGACCAGAACACAGGACTGAGTGGGTGGACAGACAGGCCACAGAAAATAAAACAGTGATTTATGATGGAGCGGTAGAGATAAGAGAAGCAGTGAAACGAATGTAGTTGTCACTCAATTGTGATGGCATGACCCGGGTTTCCACTGATGACAATGTCTACCTGCCATATGTGATTATAGTGTGAAGGTGACCCCCAGGAGAATGAGCAAGTCCTCTGAAAGTGGGGCAATGCACTGGGGAAATAGACATTCTGATAGATGTCTTTAGATTTTCAGTATAATTTCAACTTTATTTTCTTTTAGTTATTCCAACAGGTGTTTTAAATATAAAATGTTCATTGTATGTTCCCTATATTCTTACTCTCTGAAATAGCCTTCTTCTTATTGATTGGTCAGTTGCAGCTTTCAGTAGTCAAATATTTCCTATACTGTTAGCAGTTGCCCATAACAATGCTATATCTTTATGTTAATATTTTAACACTTTACGTTTCAACATGGAAGTAGGCTACTTCCTGTGAGTCTTCTAGTCACTATGGGTAAATAAATAGAAGAAAAACAAAGTGCAATAAATGTTAAAAAAATATTTGCGCAACAAACCAGTTAGTTCATGATTATGATAAGAAATGAATACATGCAACATCAAGCAACATAACAGAATGTTCATGTACAGCAAAAAGAACTGGAAGCGTCTGACTCCGGAAGCCTCACACATTCAAGTTACAAAGATAAAAACAACTAAACTGAAACAAGCGCTACTTTCATATCTCTTGTATCACATCTCAAACTCATTTTATACAAACACAGCGTGCACCATCTCAGTAATCGATCCTGACGTGAAAATGATGGTGTTCGACTCGATTTATACCGACTTGTAATGGACTGTAATGTGGTGTTTGGGTTTTGTCTTGTTCATGTTTCCATGTCTTTTATTTTGTAATTGTTTTATGCTGTTTGTGTCATACTTCCCTTGCCCTCATGTATCTCAGCCTTGTGCATGTGTCATGTTCTGATTGTTTGTTCTTGTCATGTGACCCTCTTGTTTCCTATAAGTAGCCATCATGTTGCCATTGTCTGTCGTCGTGTATTGAATGTATTTATCCCGCTGTTGGTGAGTCTAGTCTGTTCATGTCAAGTCTGTTCATGCCTCGTCAAGTCAAGTCTGTTCATGTCAAGTCAAGTCTCGGATTATTGTTTGGATGTTTGGATCACACTGTAAATAAACTGCACTTGGGTTCTTCACTACTCTCGCCTTCAGTGGACTGATTCAATACATGGACTATTTTTTTCTTAGCGTAAATAATAAAACAAATATTTAAAATCAGCATTTCATGTTAATTTATTTGGTGAATAGCTTAATAATAAGTACAGTCAGCCATTCATTATCACAAAATAAATTCCTTCAGGCTCTGCGTTGTGGTGTATTTTGAGATAATGATCAACTGACTGTACATTGTCCACTACATATTTCAGCACATTAAAAATGCCAGTGAGCCTACTAACAAGATTGCTTTTTGCAAAACATTCCAGGACACCATAAAGGTAATCGTTTCCCAGACACACTCTCAAATGTTTTGTGCGAATCGCTTGGTTGTAGCATAACAGCTTTCTCCAGCCAAGGTGAGATGGTCTCTCAGGTCCAGGCCTCATTGTGCCACTGCCCTACTTCCAGACAATGGAAGCACACTTCATTGCACAGGCTCTCCATGCATTTCACTTTGGCAACAGCAGGCCTTCTTCGCTATTGCCCCTGGAGTGAATTTACCCCAGCTGTGCATTAAGCCTTGCAAGTCCCCCTCTCTCATCACATACACGCACACAACCACAAAGTGCGCACACACGGTTTCACGGTCTTTATTGGTTCAGGGTTAGGCTGTACACAGCTGCTGCGCACACTTGAAGCCAGGCTCAAACAGACCGATGCTGTCTGAGGGCCCATTTGAAAACCTCTCTGAGGTTCAATAATGGCGACATTACTAGCAGCTAAGTCTCTTTGTCACATGTGAAGTTTTCCACATGAAAGTGGGCATGTGTTGCACACTCCTGCCTGGAAGGATATAAAAGTCCCGCAGGCATCAAGATCCCTTTAAATTAGTAGGCGTGCAAGACTTTGCGGGGACTGAGATAGCTAGGCTATTGGTCCCGACCAAATTGCTCTAATTAAAACCTGGTGTCGGGTGGAGGGCTGTCAGGGTGGGACTGTGAAGTCAAAGCATTCCAAATGGAAAAGACCCCAAACTCCCCTTAACAAGGTTTTCGATCTACAAGCTTTAAAATAAAGCAGGCAGACAGAGTTTCATGCATTGATTTATTACATGCTTTACAAAGTCAGTTTCACAATTTAAAATACACATCTAATGATTATACCATTTGCCATGCCAACATTTGTGGAAAAGTAGTTTAAAAAGCTAGTGCCAAAAATAAGGAATTAAAGAAAAAATCCAACTTGTTCTGTCTGTATCCACCTTATTTTGCAACATGGAAGTAAGCTATTTTCTGTGAATGTACAAGACCTCCGATTCATTAGCTGCTCTGCTACTAGAATAATAAGTGCAGTAAATGGTAAAACTATTTGCGCCACAAACCAGTGTGTTTATGAACATGAAGTTACACTTTATTTTAAGGTGTCCTTGTTACAGTGTAATTATACATTTAAGTACTGAGTAATATTAATTAATACATGTACTTGCTATATGGTTAGGTTTAGGATTAGGGTTTGGCTTAGGGTTATTGCATGTAATTATGCTTAATTTTGTGCTAATACTGTAGTGAGTACATGTTCCATGTGTAACAAAGACATCTTAAAATAAAGTGTTACCGAATATGATAATGAATTAAAACCATATGATAAGAAATACTAGTTTGCAATATCAAGCAGCATATCAGGCTTTTTTTGCACTGCTAAAATAACGAAGCAGACGACCAGAAGTACAAATTGCCACACACTTTTTTGGAAAATAAGGTGGCTATATAAGCCAGGCTATGTGCATACGTGTGGAAATATCTCAGTGTTGTTGAGTTTCTGTATGAGTGTATTTACCAAAAATAATTTTTATGCAGTTTTTTTTTTTTGCTTTTGAACTGGTTGAAGGCTAAAGAGGGCTTGTCAGATCCACTCCAACCCAGAGAGGGGGCACTCTAATGGGGTTTGTCATCTGCTAATGATAGCTCACAGCCGTGAGCCGCCAGAGGTTTAGGGGAGCTTTGCAGGGAGGGAAGGGATCCATAATGATTTGGCATCTCTTAATGAGAGCCAGTGGGCATCCCTGACCAGTGCTCAGCTTGCTTTACTACAGGGAAAAGGCAAGAGAGAAACCCCCCACTGGAAAAGAGCAGTCGACCGTTAACCCTTCAGCCTGCCGCAGCACATTTACCATCAGCACCTCTCCAAAGCTATCCACGCCTGCATTAACCCTTTTAACCATTTACAAGTGCACATTTAACACTAGCTATGTCATTAGGTCAGAGAAAAATGGCATTCAGCCTGAAAACCCCATAGCGGAGTAACATTAGGCCAACTGCCTAAAAAACATCTACTTTATGTTTCATGTAACAGATGGTCAACAGTAAGCTACACTTGATACGAACAGGTACTCTATTATGAATGAACCAACCTGTTAACTGCTACTCTAGATATTTTGCCTTCCATTCAGGGCCTTTTGTTTAAATCTTTGCATAGTTTAAATGGTTGTTGTTTTAAATGTCAATAGTTCAATAAACAACAAACTACAATTGATATGTCTATTTTTGTTTCATTGATGAAAATATCTTCTAGCGAATTTAAAATGGAATTATATCGTTGTGCATCTCCAAGCAACACACAGTAGCTGTGTTTTATTCAAATGAATCAATGC